ATTAAACATACAATATTGCTATTGCAGAGGCAAAAAATTGAACACAAAAAGTCAATCAAATGGAATAAAAACACTCTGTTTGGCTGTTGATAAGGCAAAAATTGAAAAATGAAAATGGAGAAAAAAAAAATCTAATTTACAGAAGATAGAAAACACCATGGTAGAGAAACTAACAAAATTGCATAAATTGCATTTAATAAGGGCAATGGTTGAGCCTATTATCATATAACAAAAACCCAAATCCAATGGTAATATGTACCAATCCATAATATATCAAGAACATAAAGAAATTTATTTAAATGCCTGATATTTACCTTCTTATTTTTATCAGTAACTAAAGGAAATGAGGAAAAAAGATTTCATACTAAGCATAAAGAAAGCAAAAGAGCAAATATAAATTGATCAATAACTTAGATGCCTGATAAATAGAGCATTCAGGCCCATTCAAAGTCTGAAACCTAATCAAAGTAATATATTTACACACCCTCCTAGGAAACACTTAAGGATCATCAACAATTAGGAAGAAATTTATTTAAATACATCAACAATCACTTAGTTGTTGGACTATGATCTAGGACAGCTCAATGTTACATCATTATTGTCTTAATTCAGCTCAATCTTATTTTGTAAATAGAAACTTGTTTTAAAAATTAAAAAACAAAATTAGAAAAAGATTTTTGCATTGACAAAACTGGGGATGGTTTACGATATACAAGACGCATTGTATATGTACTCATGACCAATGACTAATCTAAAAAGTCATATATGCATTGTCAATATTCATTATCAAACATTTAACTAACTTGTGCAGGGATTTGGCATTTAAATGTACTTCTTCATGGTCCATTACAACTTTATGCCTCTTCCTGAATGTCTCAAAAAGTTCATCTCTTATAGATAGAAGACGATGGAAAATGGATTGAAGAAAGTCACATCATTTGGTTATTCCACCATACTTTGAGAAATGCATAGTGTAAAATATTTTTGAAAGAAAACATAAATAAAGGGAAGAGAGGAGGGACAGTGAAGTGTTACAAATATATAATAATAATAATAATAATAATAATAATAATAATAATAATATATTATTATTATTATTATTATCTATAATAATGATAACAATAATAATAATAATAATAATAATAATAATAATAATAATAATAATAACATGTATTTTGATTTCGTATGATTTCGTAATCCATCTCCTTCATATATATGCTGCTTTCGCCTTTTTGGTATCAGAGCCAAGTTATGTTGTATCCTGTTTCTAACTGCTTAGCTACTTCTATTCAATCGTCTTTGTTGTTTGTTTAATTAATCCTATTTTTCGTTCATCTTAATCACCCACAAGATCAGTCTGTTCTATCCACCTAGTTTAAGTCACCCACTTCTTCCCAGTCTTGTGTCAGTCCTTCGTTTTAGGCAGAGTCAGACTTTGGGGTTTAAAGATAGGGTATGTATGTATCCTAGGTATGTGATAAAATTGACAAGAATAGGGTATGTATTAAGATATCGGTAAAACTGGTTAATTACAACAAAACAATGAATCGATTATTTCGAAGTAACTCATCCGTCAGTTCTAGGTCAACAACTTTGCCCTCCATACCTAATCCAGGAATCTTAATTAATGAAGAAGATGTTGAAATACAAAATGATCAAATTAATTCTGGATGGAATATTCCAAAACTGCCCATTAAAGAGATTTATAAAACTTCTTTTATATAGAATGTTTTTAAAGTTACTCTCCATGTTAAAACTATTGAACAAGTTTATGCTTTGGAAAAACCACGGGAAACCTGTCAGTTACTTGATAAAAAATTAATCAAAAGACATTTAGATCATGGTTACAATTTTATGCATATTGGTTTAATTCAAATTGGTGTCAATCCATTAACTATGGTAGGACAAAATACTTCTGTTTTACTATGTTTACGAGATGCTCGTTTTCTTAATTACAATGCTAGTTTAATGGGAATGATGGAAACTGGTCTTAATAAAGGACCCGTACATTTTAATTGTTTTCCTGATTTTACATTAAGTTTACGGGATCCACATATTCTCAAAGCACTAACACTAAACATTCAATTACATGGTACATTCACTGAAATGTTAGATTCTTCACATAATATTGCCTTAATTTATCGTGTTCATTATAAATGTATGCAAACTAATTTAAATGTTCATGCTTTACATAAAAGCCCCAAGGATAAAACTTTATTAATTCAAAGCAGTAGTACTAATGAATCCAATAACATTTTGTATATAATGTAATGAAGTTGTATTCATTCGGCAGACTTAGAAAAATCTGTAATCTAAGAGCTCTGAGTGAAAACCAATACCCTTATGCTGTAACCATTCAAGATCCTTGCAGTTCGTGTAATTGTAAGTTATTTTCTGTATCTTAATGAAAATGTTTCTTTTAAATTAAAATATTTAAATTAAAACATTAAAGATTTGGATTTTGGATGGGATTTGGATTTGTAGTATTTCTTTTTCGGTTTAGTGTAGAAGTTATCATGTGATTTGGAAGGAGAATAATTCTTTATATATTTATATGATGATTTATGTTTGGAATATTTGTGTGATTTCCTACGAGAGGGTGCAACAGGAGGTAAACCATATTGTTCACAGAAATTGCCTAATTCATATTTAGCTTTATGTTTATCTTTATTAGCTTTTTGAGTAAGTTTAAGGTCAATACACATTTTTAAACATTCTTTTTGAATAGTGCTAATTATATCACCATATGTTAGATTATCATATTCAATAACACCAGTGGGTTGACTAAGAACATCTTTAATTTTATGGGCAAATAAGCTAGGTAATCCATTAATAAATTTTTCTTTCCAAAATGATTTAGTACAGTCTTCTCTTAACATGACTCGAGAGGTAAATACATCTTTATACCATCTAAAATCACTTAAGGTTGGACAGGTAAGATTACTAAGTTGATCATGTATGCGAGAATATATATTGGTAGGGGTACCAATAAAATGTCGGACTATGGTGTATATTAATTGGTTGATTCCGTCAGGGCGACAACATCCTATGGATTCATCAAAAATAGGGAGACCATTTTCATCGGTTTGATTAGCATATATGATTGTGTCACGTTGTTCTTCAGTGAGATATTTTTCCCACCAAGATTTGAGCATACCAGTAAAACCAGAGGTGAGTAAAGAAACAATTTCAGATTGAGAATATTGAGGATAATTACTAAGATAACTATTTGCTACCATGGACAAATGATTTAATTTTTGCAGGATTTGATCTTCACTTTGACCATCAATATTCCATTCATATAATCGTTTAGCAAAAACAGAAAATTGATTACTAATATTAGTTTCTTCAAATTGGAGGTCAACAGGAGTTGGTTTAGAATACCAGTTTTTGGTATTGTGAGGATTAACCTTGGGATAGTGGATTTTATTCAAATGAGAAGATTGAAATTGTTGAGCTAATTGATTTATTTCATTATCAGTAGTGTCAGTTTCAGATTGAGCAGAAACAGTGTTGATAATAGGTTGTTGATTTAAAACAGTAAGACCTTTATCTTTTGAAGTAGAAGTATCATTGGGAGTTAGTTTGGTGAATAAATTTTCAATGGCTTTAACAGTAGATTGATCATTAGTAACTAAGCTAGTTCGTTTAGAGCGATGACTAGGGAGATTAAGCAAAGGTTGGTCTAGGGATTTAGTGGATTTGGCAGATTGTTCATCTAAATTAGTTTCTAATTTATCTAATTGTTTACCAATCATTTTTAAACATTGATTAGTATAATTATTTTGTTCAATCACTTTTTTAATTTCAGGGTCAGTGCCAGGTAATTTAAAAGGAGAGGCTGGAACTTCAGAACCTTGGTGATCAATAATTATATTTTCTAATGGAGGATGATTAGAGCTAACAGAAGTATTAGGAGAAGTTTTCCACTTATGTTTGGTGATTGCATTAACCTTTTTGTAATATTGATCCATATAATCAAAGAAAGATAATTCGAAACCATATTGAACCATAAAATCATACCATTTTCTAGTTATTCGAGATTGTTGAGCAGAATCATATTTAGCACGATAAACATGTCTTTTAGTCCTATTTTCTTTGAATCTAAAGTCAATAAGTAATTTATCTAAATAAGGAGTAAAATCCTTTTTGATTGTCATTAGTTGGGGATTTACGGGTTGTATAATTTCTTCGAAATCAGTTTGAGTTGGAGAATTATTAGAAGCAATGTCTTCTTCTGGTAAATGTGTGGGAGTAGTATAAACAGGTTTACTTATTTGAGAAGTTGTAGAATTATCAATTCCTTTTAATTTATTTTGGGAAGTTTGGTTGATTGGACCAGGATGGAGTTGACTATTTTTCCTAAATAAAGGAGTATTAAATATTTCATCTTCAGTTGTTATTTCAGAAGGGACACTAGAGGTACTATGTCTAGAAGACTGACTTCGATTAAACTTAATGCTAACGGAACCATCATTATATTGTTGGATATTTTGAATATCTTGGATTGAGGATTGCTGTTGATTATGTTTGTAATTTTCATTGACAGTAACCCATTGTTCAGGTAAATTGATATCTTTCCATTCAATCATATGAGGAATATTAATATTGGATTCATTGATTATTATCAACAATCTTTAGGCTATACTCTGAACTAGACACATGCAAAGAAAGTTGAACCTGTTCCTCCATCTGAATTTTCAAGAAGAATCATAAGCCATTACATAACACATGTGTAATTACATCAGAAATGCCATTACTTCTTCAAATTCCTCATTGAGTCTGTTCTATATTCTAGTTAAGAGATTGGAATACATGGTTTCTGATAATCTGCTACTATATAAAATGTGGAGACATCAAATTCAATAGATTTACAAAACAAGTCACTTTTTATGTTCAAAATTCATTGATAATAAAATTAAAACCACAATTTTGAATACTAAGAATAATTACATGTTGTGAAAGACATTACCATTGCTTTCTTTGAATAGATACTCCTATAAGTGAATGCAATATTTGAAATCATCGCACTAATGAAACCAGTCCAGTTGAAAGAAAGTTCCGTTAGTGATGCCATTGATACGCCTAATATAGAATTTGAGAGGATTATCATCAGCAAAAGAATGTGTTGCTCAATTTATTTGATCAAGCCCTTGGTTATTGACATAATCACATGATCATTTGTAAACAAATTTTATTCAAATGCTTGATAAAAAATCAAATACATGTACAGATACGTGTGTAATTTATACCGTGATAGGTTACTTGATTAGTTTTATGACAGTATCACTTTTTATTAAAAATAATATACCCAACAAATTAGGTTTAGAGAAATGGTAATTTTGATTCCACATGAAGACAAATGAACTAATAGATAGGAACAAAATCGAACAATTACCAAAAAACAACAGAGGCTAATGATAGCCATAAGGGCAAGGGAATCTGGTGGCCTAAAATAAATTGAGAAGCAGCAACATTGAAGAATGGCTTGAGTGCTGTAGAAGAACATCACAGATGTAATTAGGTTTACAATAGTAAGTATTAAACAGGAACATCATAAACTCAGTTTTATGACAACTAAGATTTAGTCTATTCATCAAACTATTTTCCAAGCAGATGTTAAGAGGGGGAAGGGGGAAAAAATGGGGCTTAAACACCAGGGTTTACGTAGCTACAAAATACATTTAAACTAAAAATACAAATCAAAATAGCTAGATGCTCTCATTCGTACTGCTATTATGTGAATTTTCAGAATGCAAATGTGGGGAAAATTATTATTGTGCTTCACATGTTAACTTTAATATGAAACTAATTTTTTTAAGCTGTAAAAAATTCAAAAAATAAATAAATAAACAAAACACTAACTATACTACAAAAAAATTTCAATTAAAATTCCAATGCACCTTCATCATGACTAGAATGATTAAAGATTGTGAGGACCAAGAAAATATATGAAGAATGGAAGAGCAAAATCAACTAGCCTTCCTGAAGTTGATCTTTAAGCTATATACGCATCAAAGCATAGAGTCAAATTTTGTACCTCTTTCTCTACACTAGGGAACCTATAGTAAAAAATTATATACTCAGATCACTAAATATTTATAAAAGAATCAGGCCATACCTTGTCAAACCGAAGGTGTAGGACAACAAACTTCCTTGGTCCTTGACAATTGCAGCTATCCCATAACTGGATCATTGACAATGTATGAAGATCACATTTGAAGTATAGAAATGAAGTAAAAAGTTCAAATAACTTTAAAACATCAACTAATACACTCAATACTGAAATTATATCAAGGAACAAACTGAACATAAGCAGTAAAGAGTACAAAAATTTCAAAGATATTGTGTAACCCATTAGAAGTTCACAGACAAACATCTCTGCTGAAAAAGATTAGAGGAATCACTATTATGCTTTTTTATGCCTTTATTTTGAAGCACCTCATCTTGAATACTACAGGTTCTTCTAGAATAACAACATAACCCAACAAGTTAAGCCTTAACCCTATGCGTCTGCATCTCTTTTTAATCTTTATGTCATTCCTTCTTGTTATAATTTACATATAGTCATAGACTCACAGTTATATTCATGATTCTGGACAAAAAAAAAATAATAGGCACAATGAATTGTCAATAGTTTTTCATTACAACACAAAACACTTGCAAACTAAACATGACAGATTGGACACAAATCCTTTCCACAATTTTATATTTATACCAAATTGATATTAACATTGTCACTCACAATATAAAAAGATATTAGTCAGTAAAGTTTAGTGTTATAAAACTTACCTAATAGACTAAGCAAGAGATACTGGGTGCATGTCCAACTAGGCACATTGGACACAAATCCTGTACTCTTTTAAGTCTTACGCGTGTCAAGTGTTCAACACCATTACTTCTTGCATTTAGAAAAGTCAAAAGCAACATAAGAGATAATCAAGCATTATTAAAGGTCAAGCAGGGGACCTTAATTGTGTTCTTCCACACTCTTCCATTCCATAAAATTAAAACCACAATTTAGAATACTAAGAATAATTACATGTGAAAGACATTACCATTGCTTCTTTGAATAGATACTCCTGTAAGTGAATGCAATATTTGAAATCATCGCACTAATGAAACCAGTCCAGTTGAAAGAAAGTTCTGTTAGTGATGCCATTGATATGCCTAATATAGAATTTGAGAGGATTATCATCAGCAAAAGAATGTGTTGCTCAATTTATTTGATCAAGCCCTTGGTTCTTGACATAATCACATGATCATTTGTAAACAAATTTTATTCAAATGCTTGATAAAAAATCTAATACATGTACAGATACGTGTGTAATTTATACCGTGATAGGTTACTTGATTACTTTTATGACAGTATCACTTTTTATTAAAAATAATATACCCAACAAATTAGGTTTAGAGAAACGGTAATTTTGATTCCACATGAAGACAAATGAACTAATAGATAGGAACAAAATCGAACAATTACCAAAAACAACAGAGGCTAATGATAGCCATAAGGGCAAGGGAATCCGGTGGCCCAAAATAAATTGAGAAGTAGCAACATTGAAGAATGGCTTGAGTGCTATAGAAGAACATCACAGATGTAATTAGGTTTACAATAGTAAGTATTCAACAGGAACATCATAAACTCAGTTTTATGACAACTAAGAGTTAGTCTATTCATCAAACTATTTTCCAAGCAGATGTTAAAAGGGGGGAGGGGGGAAAAAGGGGGCTTAAATACCAGGGTTTACGTAGCTACAAAATACATTTAAACTAAAAATACAAATCAAAATAGCTAGATGCTCTCATTCTTACTGCTATTATGTGAATTTTCAGAATGCAAATGTGGGGAAAGTTATTATTGTGCTTCACATGTTAACTTTAATATGAAACTAATTTTTTTAAGCTGTAAAAAATTCAAAAAATAAATAAATAAACAAAACACTAACTATACTACAAAAAAAATCAATTAAAATTCCAATGCACCTTCATCAAACAAAATACTAAAATAAAACAAGTCTACAAAATTTAGCCTATAGAAATTTTTTGTTTAAATAGCGTGTCATAAATTCTTTTTAAAAACTATATGTAATTATGAGTAACAAAGCCACGGGGAGAGAGAGAGAGAGAGAGAGAGATGGGAGAGAGGAGAATAAAAAGTAAATGAATCAAACCCTAACTTTTGCTGTCTCACAGTATCTCTTCTATAAATTCTATGAAATTTGTGAAATTGGCTATAAATCGCAAAACAAAAAAGAATCGAATTTAGATGTGTGTATATAAATATGCATGCATATGTGAGAAGAATTGAAAATAGATAGAAACATTTCAAATGAGAAAAGAAAGAATTGCAAATAATTGGAAACCTAGATTTCCTAAGTCAAATAGAGAAAGAAGCAGAGGTGATAGAGGAGGTTGAGGATTGCAAAATTACTTGTATTCTCACAAGACACCGATGAAATCACCTAATTTGCAATGAAATCACCTAAAAATTCAACAAATTGACGAGTACATTACAAGTTTTTGAATTCAAAAACAATTTGAGAGAGAGAGAGAGAGAGAGAAGAGAGATTGAGAAATCCAAGGAGAAAGAGCGAGATTGAGAATGTGTGTGTGTGAGAGAGAGAGAGAGAGCCATACCTGTGACGACCATGGGTGAGTGCGAGAGAGAGCTAAGGCACATTGAGAGCTTTCATCATAGAGAGAGAGAAAGTTATGAAATTGAAATTGGGGAAAATTAATTAAAGAAAGCCATGTAGGTTTAAGAACATTAGACACTTATTAATTTGCATCCCTTATGGCTGTTGCTGATATTTTTTTATTTTTTGTGACCACTTATTTGACAATCACAAAAGAAGTAAATGCAAAAAGTCACTTTTCTAGTAGTGTTTTGTACCCCAGGTCAAGTAAAGTTTATGTGGACGAGGCAATACCTAATAACATAAGAATTGTTTTGAGCTGCTCAGCAAGCATTCCAAGGCCCATGCTATCCATCAGACCTCTGACTCCACTGTCACTATACTTTTGACTAGCAGGACGAAATTCTTCCGTAGCTTTATCAGGGTTTATCTGCCACAGTTTCATAGGCAGCCTACCAATTAATCACACACATCAAACAACTCATAGATGAAATAACAGACTTACTTTGAGTAAATATCATTTGGGTGCACTTCATTACTTACTTAACTACCTCAAGTGCATAAAGTGGAGAATCCAATCCTTCAACTGGAACAAGCGTCCCTCCAGCCAAATCCTTAATACAATGTGTAAATGCAAATTGTAGTATGTCATAGACACACTTTTCTAAAAGAACTAATAATTTATGATGGGACAAATGAAAACATGTACAACAATTTTCACTTTTCAATCCAAAAATATATGTGGAAGCACATTTAAAAACTTGATAAAAAGAATCACTTAATGAATGAGCTGGGTCAATAGAAACCACAATGGTTGGGTGACTATGATTTGTGAAATTTACAACAAGGGATGCAGCACAGCTTGTTTTCCCAACACCTTCCTCCCCGCCCAATAAGTAATGCTTTCATTGGGTCCCCAGAAACCATCTTATCAAACCTAGCAACAGCTTCAGCAAGAGTAGCTACCGATCTCACTTCAAGAAAAAAAAATAAAAATAAATTACAGTTGAGTATCATCAAAAATACTTGAATAAATAAATAACAAAAAAAAAATCACGTTTGCCATTGCAAAGACACAAGAATTTAAAAGTCATGCTGGCTCCATGGATGGGATGTGTGGTCAAAAATCAAAGTTAATAGTCACCTCATTTTTGTGTGGTTTGAGGCAGATTACGAGGAACCTAGATTAAATTTCAATATGACATGATTTTGAGGGTTAAAATGCCTAGTGACCCTTCTTGGGTCTGGAGGAAAATTCTATCCCTTCGGCCTGTCATTTACCCTTTGATTCTGCACAAAATTGGAAATAGGGGTGATGTTTTCTTGTGGTTTGACAATTGGCATCCTCTTGGATCTTTATGGGCGAGGTTTGGTGCTAGAGTTGTCTATGATACTGCCTTCGGGATGGATGCTAAGGTTAGTAGTATTGTTAATAATCGTTCTTGGAGTTGGCCCAGGAGAAGAAGGAGCTTCTTACAGGAGTTGATTGAGCATACCCCGCTTACGTTTACTCCCAACTCTGGTAATGATATTGTTATTTCGGTGCCTTCTTCTGATGGTAAGTTTTCTATAAATTCAACTTGGAATTGGTTCAGGAAATCTTTTACTAAAATTTCTTGGGAGAAGCTGTTGTGGGGTCCTCATAATATCCCTAAGGCAAGTATGGTTACCTGGATGGCTATTTTAGGGAGATTAAACACAGGGGATAGGCTTAAGCTGTTTTGTATATCTCAAACCTCTATGTGTGTTTTGTGTAATGACCCTTACAAGGATCATAACCATTTATTCTCCGATTGTCCTTTCTCCAGTCGAGTTTGGGAGAGTATTAAAGGGAAACTTAATGTGAATTGGCCCCATCTCCTTTGGCCTGACATTGTTCAGTTGGTTTCTAAAACGGTCAAAGGTAAATCTCTTAGTGCTGTGGTCACAAGACTTGCATTTACTTGTACTGTGTATCAGCTTTGGATTGTTAGGAACAATTGCATATTTAGAAAGGAAAAGATTCCTGAAGAGATTGTGATTAAAGGCATTGTGGATATGATTAGATTTTGAGTAATGTCTATTACTAACCTCAAATTGCATCCTAGTGACAGTTGGTTTTTGAGTTCCTGGAGGTTGCCTAACACTGTGCTGAAAGCAACAACAAATGGAATGAGAGTTGAGAGTTCAGTAAATTGTGGGTTGAGTGATGGTAGCACAAATTGAGTGTTTTCTTAATGGTTTGCTCATTTTGTAGGTACATGGATAAGTTGGAACTGCAGATTGTACATGGATCTGAAGTTTTTTAGTGGAGAACATGTACATGCGTAGATTGAAGATTGTGAGTGAGATTACCTATATCAGAGGGTTGAGAGAATTGGGAGGCTACCATATACCATACTCTAAACTTCTACTAGCCATATTGAGAGTTGTTTTTGTATATTTTTCTCTAACTTTTTGGTGCAGGTACTTGGAGCTGAAGAAATTTGAGAGATGTGAGATTCTATATTGTGGGTTGAGTGATGTGAGCCCATATTATGAGTGTTGTTACAATATCCTGACTGATACAGTGTTAGTTAACCCGATGTATATGCGATATTCATTATATTACCTATTTTGCACAGGAGGTACTAAGTTGTGTGTTAAGCTCAGTGATGGCTGGACCTGTTAGCGGCTATGGATTGGTCGATACAAGCAATCTACTGGATATACCTGGTTGATGAAAATGGTACTTGGAGGGTTGGGGAGCAGTGTACAACAGTTCTTTGTTGGCCCCTGTCGTGTGTATGGATGTTTCTCGGCTGGAATCTTCAACATTTGGAAGTGTTGTCGCAGAATTAATGGCTGCTGGAAGTGCCGTTGGAGTGAAGAAAGTTTTATTTATGTGTATATATCTATCTTTATTTTATGTTATTGTTCTAGCATCTTTTTGAACCTACCTTTGCGGGGTGTGCAAGGTTTTAGTTATGTGTTAACAGTGTTGCTAAGATGGATGTTCATGGTCTATATGTCCTTCTATGGGGCCCATGAACATTCGATTGTTTCCTTCTTTTGTGTTAGTTGCCAGCTTGTGCTGCCTGGTTTGTGTTGGTTTGTTATGGTTTGGTTTCCAGGTTTGGTTTTGGGTGGATATGCATAGTTGCTGTCCATTTTTTCTTTGTTTCTTTGTATAGTTTCGCGTAGGGCCTGGGGCATGCCCCTTGTATTCTTGTGTTAGTCTTTTGTTTTATTTTATGACTTACTTACCCAAAAAAATATGACATGATAGAAATTTTCTAATAAAGAACATCTGAACTAAACTCTTAAAAGATAAATGATACTTCAGAAAAGAGAAGATCAAAACCACCCCCTATAAAATCTTTTTGCACCTTGTTGTTCTTGCGCAGCTATGGACTTTGCTTGATTTTCCATTGTCCTCCAGCTATAAATCTGCATGTACAAGAAGAAAAATCTTAGGGCTCTCTTGAGAAGAAAAGTTCCAAAGATACAGAAAGAGGATACATTTTGAAGAAGAAATACTGACTTTGATCACAGCAAGGGCTCTAACACCCCCAAAATTATAAACTTTTATCTAGTCAATTTTTATTAAATATTCACTGGTTTTCGTCAAATACATCCATTTCTCGTAAGATAATGCTTATAAAAAAATATTATCTTTCATTACGTAAACCTCATTCTCATTGAACTATATTGAACTATTACATCTTATGCTCACAATATAAGTTATAGTTCACAAAATTAAAGAAATCAAAAGTAAATGTGCCCTAATGGTGTACAAGTTTCAAGGGCAACCCCTTGGTTACACAAAAAGGGTGGACAGTAAGTCCCAACACATATTAACTTGGAGCTTCAACGAAATAACATCCAATGAGCCCACGTGCTCCATTCAAAATCTTCACCGCCTTGTCACTTGAGTGGACTCACATCATCAGTTCTTGAAATGTTGTTAGTTTGGGCAAGCTAATGCTTAGTAGGAAATACTATTAATAAGACATATAAATAATCGAGATGCATAGGATCATGCCATGCACTTGTTAGGATAAAATTCATATTTTCTCTTTTAAAACCAAAATGTTCAATACATGATTTCCATTTCAAGTCTCATCTATAACCATGGGGTGGTAAATACGCTATGACGTCCTAAGCAAGAGCCGCAAAACCATAAATACATATATAGATTTATATACAGAAAATATTCCCACATTTGCTAACTCTAAAAACAGCGGGGGCGATGGGCACCCAAAACCTTTCCCTCTCCACTTTCGCCGACTCTTGAAACAGCAGGCTTGTGGACACCAAAAATCAAGTTTTCCACATTCGCAAATCTATAAATGGTAGGCTTGTGGACACCCAAAAACCTTTCCCACATTCGTCCAGCAATATGCACATGACATGGCAATTGAGCACCTTAACTTCTCGCGCGAGTACCAAATACAACACACAACCCATTACTAAAACCAGACTCAACTACCCGGACTCATATGCTATTTACCCCCCCTTCCAACACTTTCCAAACTTCCACAAAATTGTAGGATCACATGAGAAACTATGATGCATATGATGCATAAGTTTTCAAATGAATTTTTCCGAACATTTGTTCAATCCACAACAACATTAACAATATCAACAACCAAAAGATTTCTCCAATCTCACAATTTCTACAATCTCAATATTCCTCTATTTTAATACATATATCTAGGAAAATTCAATAATCTCATGTCTCAACACCGTTTCCATGATCATTCATCCAATTTCAAGATTTAAGAGTCAATTTGGCCAAATCCATTATTAAATCAAATTTTAAAACTAGGGTTTTTAGAAGAAAAAAAAATAGGGGCTTTCCCCTCTGTAGATACCCCATTTTTGACCGGCCTCAAGACTTGGACGTCACCGTTGGAACACTCGGTGATCATCCATGATTGTGTTCGTCTTGAGTTCCCGGAGGTCTCGGTTGCGCGCCTTGCCTCAAGATCTCTCGACTCGACTGTTTTGTGTCTGGTTTTGCACCAAACACTTGTGTTTTGCCTTGGAGGGGCAGGGAATGCCTTGTGAGGCATCCCCACACATCACCGGCAATGGCTTAAGGCCACCAGCCAGTGATTTTATGCCATCGGCAATATATATTGTCGGTCGGCATTCTTTGTTGCCGATCGGCC